GACATACTAGGTTGAAGCAAATGAAGTTGGTATATTTGGCTGTTCTTAACTTTTGAAATGGCAATTTCGTATATTTCAACTTCATAGTTGTCATTTACTGAGATGGGTAAAATTATGTGAGGAAGAGGTGGGGAGAGTATCAGGAGTTTATTTTGGGACATGAGGAGAGATCAAATAGGCAGCTGTATGTATGTGTCTGGAGTAGTGCAGCAGCAAGTTCCCCATCAGAAAGGGAGATTAGGGAGTCAGAGTATAGATGGCAGTTTAAGCCCTGAGACTTGGATGAGGTCACCTAGGAATTAAACATGGATAAAAAACAGAGGCTCAAGGACTGAGCCTGGGGCTTCCAGCATTTCCAGATCAGGGAAATGAGGAAGCCGCAAAAAAAACACAGGTGGCCTCGGCTGGCAAAACAAAGGCTCCAAACAGGGGAGTTGGCCCAGGTGAAGGCTCCTGCATATAGGTGTAAATAATTTCCAACCTTGCTCCCTCCTTGAGCCTTGGTATTAGAAAGCGTGTGTGTGTTTGTGTGCGAGTGTGTAGAGGGGATGTGGATGTGATAATATCTTATATATGACTAGCACTTTGGAGGTTGCAACATTTCTTCTGTTTGATCTAGGGCTTAGGCAAGTGTAGTGCAGGTGCTATTATCCTATCTTACAGATGAGTAAACTGAGGGACAAAGGTTAAGTTACTTGCCCAAATTGCAGGCATACCTCATTTTATTGCGCTGAGCTTTATTGTACTTCACAGTATGTTGCGTTTTTTTACAAATTAAAGGCAAGACCCTCCACCCGCAAAAAGGTTACAACTTGCTTTATTGCGGTGGTCTGGACCGAAACGTGCAATATCTCTGAGGCATGCCTGCACGTCAATAACAGGTAACAGATCTGGGACTAGAAAGTGTTGTCTGTCTGTAAGCTCTATGCTCTCACTGAATCATGCTGCCTTTCAGGGGTTGGTGTTTGCTCAAGGAGCCTGTTACCAAGCAAAGACACCTGTAGAAATGACAACGATGCACTAGATCAATGGTTCTCAACCTTTCACAGGGGTCGCCTAAGACCATCAGAAAACACATGTTTTCGATGGTCTTAGGAACCGAGACACCGCTCCTCTATCCGTCTCCAGGCCCACATGCAGATACGCCCACATACGAGTATACCCAGAGACGCCTGTGAAAGGGTCGTTCGACCCCCAAAGGGGTCGCAACCCACAGGTTGAGAACCGCTGCACTAGATGAAACCTTTCTATCCTTGCTACTGTGTGGCCTGCATTTTCCTGCGCTCCTACTGACTGCCTCTGTAGGGACAAATTGTAACAGGGTTACATGGAAATGACTTGAAATGAGTTTTAAGCTTTTATTTCCATAGCAGCAAGGAAAATGCTAATATTATTGCCCTTAGAGGGGCCTGGGCCCATGATCTCAGATGCCAAGAACGCCAGCACAAATGAACCTATTTCTTGCTAGAAATGGTCAAACGGAATCAGAAGGCCTCATTTGGAGGACTTTCACATTGGGTGGGGACAGTAATACAGGCACTTGGTTTTAATGCCACTGAGTTAAGAGGTACCTTCAGACACAGAGCAGCTCCTGGCTCTTCCACTCACTCCACCAAATGATAGGTTTCTTCTTACTCCCTCTTTGTGTCTTGCTCAAAGCATTACATTCTCTCCAAACTTATGTTCTTGCCTTGGAGAAGCTGCTCCTGAGATCGGAGGCTCCACTGGTCAAGCTTAGCCCTGTCCTGGGGTGAGATAAACAGGCCCGAATACATTTCCCAGATTGCAACACTGGTGAGTCAGGCAGTGTCGGACAGCTGTTCCCTCACAGCGTCCCTGGTTGTGCCTGATAAGGAAGAACATGGCTCATGCCAGCGTGCTGCCGTGTGTGTGCACATATAAACAGACACTCCCAGGCCCCACTGTTGTCTTAGAGTAAATTATTGACATTCTGAAAGGCTGAACATTGCGGGGGGAAAAAGGTGAGGGCAAACTTACTCTGCTCCGGAGGAGCTCCAGGTTTCTCATGCCAAAAATAAGTAAAGCCAGGGCTGTCATTTGACACCACTCCGGAGCCACCTTTTGAACCTACCTAGTCAAGGGCAGGTTCAGGAGTCCTCTGAAACTCTGGGAAGAGGAGGGGGAGGATTGCAATGCAGGGTCGGGGAGGAAGTCAGGAGAGAGGAGATGGGTTTATGAAGGAGCAAATGGCAGAATGCCCGGAGAGAAAAGGCATATCGTAGAAATGTGAACATGCCTTCACCACAAAGAGAAGGAACTGACGCTATGACATCTTAAAAAAAAAAAAGACCAAAAAAAGCGAATGCCCTTTTCCTTAAAGGATATACAGTGGATAAGGAGTGGGGCAAATGGGGGGTAGATATTAATAATACAATAGTACTGCCACCAATATCATATTATACCTTGTAATGAACACTTCACTTTACATCTATGAAAAGCAATTTATAGTTTACAAGGGGCTTTCCCATTCATCTTTTCCATTGACTCCATCAGCCTACTCAGGTTACGAGCCACATTTTACAGATGAGAAAATTGAGGCTCCGGGAGGATATATGCAATTAACTGAGGCATAATTAAGAGATGGGGAGCAGCAGGTTTGTCCTAAGTAACCCAGAGCTGAGATACTAGACACACTAAGAAGAATAATTCCTTTTCATTGACTGCTCAGAGAGCTGAAGCTCCCCTGCATTTCTAGATAGAACAGCCCTACCTTCTCCAGTGGTATCCAGAACAAGTTTCTCCAACTAAACGCTCCTCTGATTAGTTTTGCTTAGTACCTAGATCACAGTAGCATAACATCTGTGAAGATGAAAGAAAGCATCAGGGAAAATTTCTAGATCCACTTTATGCCCTGTTTTTCCAGTGTCCCATCCTTGACTAGTTCTAACTGTTCTGGAAACAACACCTGTGGGTCCTGTAAGCTTGCCATCTTGCTTTCAGGTGGGGAGGCAACATCTTTATTTGCTCAGGACATTATGGAAGCACAGGACCCAATTAGAGGGGTCAGGCAGGTGTTTAGAAAGTGCAGGTGCCGATTGGAATCGTCAAGCGGTGGTTCTCAAACTTTGGCCTGCATCAGAATCATCAGGGGAGCTTGTTAACGACATGGACGCCCCAGTCCCACCCAGACCTTCTGAATCAGAGTCCCCAGGGGTGGGGCCTGGACACCTGTTGACTAAACAAGCTCCCCGGGTGATTGGTGATTCGGAAGGACACCAAAGCTTGCAAAGCACTGTCTCAGCATGGAAGGGGGAGTCACTCAGGCAAAGGAAGAGTGGGGAGCCATACTAGGAGAGGAAGTAGCAGCAACAGACACCCAAAGAGCCTAAAGGAGGGGCACAGTCAGTAACAATTTTCTGTTCCATCCTTACCTTCCTTTAGCAAAGTGGTCAACTAAAGGGGGTTAGAAATCCCTTCATTCAGGTATGTCCTCCTTCTGACAGAATTGCTATGTGCAGGAGGAAAAAACAATGCACACCCTTTAGAAGCAGTTCAAGTAGCCTATCTTTTTCAGAAAGTAGAATAAAGGTTACCAGGGGCTGGGGTGAGTGAGGAATGAACGAGGAGCTACTGTTTAATGGGTACAGAGTTTCTGTTTGGGGATGATGAAAAAGTTCTGGAAATGGAGAGTAGTGATGGTTGCACAACATTGTGAATGTGTTTAATACCACTGAACTGTACACTTCAAAATGGCTAAAATGGCAAATTTTACGTTATGCACATTTAGCACACACACAAACAAGCCGGTCATTTTGAGGGATGGAATGATAGGAGCAAACACCGTTCAACTTTAGCTGATTGCTGTGTGGCGTGTGTGTGTGTGTGTGTGTGTGTGTGTGTGTGTGTGTGTGTGTGCGTGTGTGTGTGTGTATGGGACGTTACGTAAGGGGACTGACAAAGTACTAGTGGATGCATAGATAAGACTTTTGAAAATGGATGGCAGCGAAAATGTGATATAAATACGGAGATGCCTAAAGCACTCTTTCCTGCCCCTTTTGCCTGGTTGGCTCCTGGGATCCACATCACTTGTTTTGGAGCACTTTGTAGAGCAGTGTCTCTCAAACTTCACTGCTCATAAAAGTCACCTGGGGACCTTGTTAAACTGCAAATTCTAATTCAGTAGGTCTGCGGTGAAGCTCAAACCTGCGTTTCTAACAGGTTCCCAGGTGATGCTGACACTCTAGATCCACAGACCACATGGGAGGCCTGTGTAAATTTAGAGTCATTCTTAATTCACCATGATATCCTTATGTCCAGCAGAGTGATTAGTACACAGCAGGTGCTCAATAAATATTTACTGCATGAATGACAAAGTACGTAGAATTGGTATAGAAGTTTGGAGGGCAATCTTTGACCTCAACCACAGCATATGTAAGGTATTTCTGCTTCTATCAGTCATTCACTTTGTGAAATTACCTCATACTCTGTAGAGTAAAAATGCGAGTACTAAATTATGTTTGGCCTTGCTACCTTGCTGCCTCAACCCTAATCCTTGAAACAGTGGCCCTATCTATACACGTGGAGGATAATGAACCCTGGTCTGCAAGCTCTGAGGAAGCCTTGCTGTGGTCTAAAATCACTGCAAACAAATTCTCTCCATCTAAGGAGGTTAGAGTGTAGGGAACCTGCTGGTGAGGGAATTTGCAGATTTTGGTGCCTCGGTAATCGCCAGCTTGGCCTCCTCAAATCAAATAAATAGCCTTTTAAACAGTATGTGAGAAGGAGGAGGTTCATTACACGAAAACACATGAAAGTAATAATAGTGCCATTATTTACTATTATCGTTTATGATGATGATAACAACACTGGCAGTTGAGCGATTAAGTGTGTGGGGGAACTCGGGAAGGAGACAGAAGGCTGTGAAGGCAGGAGAAAAAAAGGAACTACATCTCCCAGAGTCCCCGAGGCAAGTCCGCGTCGCGGCGCCCCACCCCTTTGGCCCGCTGGGCCCGCCCTACCGATGACGTCACAGAGGTGACGTCACGGCGCCCAGAGCGAGGCTGGGGTAGAGAGGCCGACTGAGCTGGAGTCGTCCGCTGGTCGTGGAGGCTGCTAGCGAGCCGGCGAGAGGGTGATCGGGCCAGCAGACGAGCGAGCTAGAGCAGGCAGGAGGGAGCGTCGCGCGGCGCAGAGTAGCGCCGGGGCCGGGCCGCCGCGGAACCCACAGCCGGAGAGGGACAGCCGGAGCCGGGCGCCGCGGGGTCCCCACCCCCACTCGGCCGGACAGCGCCGGGTGTTCCCCGTGCGGGGGGCGGCGGCTGACTGGACCGGACAGGACCCAGAGGGTGTTGCCACCTCTGCCGAGGAGCCAGCGCGGCCGTGGGCTCCTCAGAGCCGGGGCCCGGGGCCCGTGACAGACCAGCGGAGGAAGGGAGAAAAGGCAGCCGCGGCGGCGCAGGCGACGGGGAGGCAGCGGCGACACCATGTCATCCCCCAGTCCGGGCAAGAGGCGGATGGACACAGACGTGGTCAAGCTGTATCCTTCGTGGAGGGGGGATTCGGGCTGTATGTGGGGGCCCGTGTGGGGATGCCCCAGGCACCCCCCTGAAACCCAAGCGGGGGCCCTGGGGCACTACAGGCCACTGTCCGAGGCTCCCTCCTTCCCGTTCCCTCCCTCCAGTACCTACGGCGGCTCCTTGGCACCTCCCAAGAACCGAGAGCCTTTTCAGCTCTCCCTTTATCCGCAGCACCCCGAAATGTGCGTTTTTCCTCGCTCTTCCTGCACCCCCAGTGCCCATGACTTTTCCTCCACGACGTTTGGACTCCCTAGACAGCCTTCTTTTTCTTTTTTTCTCTCAGTACTAGCCGCCTCTCTTCACCTACGAGCCCACCTTTCAGGGTCTCTCTTTTCCTGTTTGCTGTCTCGTGACTTAGGGACTCGAGATAGAAATTCCCGAGAGCGAAGCCTTTTCTCCCTGTCTTGAGATGCCTCCCTTCCCTCCATTCACAGTGCTTGAACTGGGGTAACTCAAGTGACCTCCTTTATTCCTAATTCCTTTCTATATTAGGAAGAGAGTAGTCTGCTCAGTGCCCCCACTTGTGAGTGATAAAGAGCTCTGCATATTTTAAATCCGAGACCCCTGTTAAGCTTTCTGGTCCCTGGAAGAACCTCACTGTTTTTCTTTCCACTGACAAAGCCTATCCCACCCATAGTTATATGTGGCAAGGACCTCCAGGCCCTCCAAGCAAGCCACCCTCCATATTATGGATATGACAGCTGGGGGAGGGAGAGAAAGGGTTGCCTTAACAAAATCGCCCCTGTGCCAGCCACTTAAGCAAACACCCTTTATGAGGATAAGGTTCTTGGGGGGGAATAATTGCCTTGATCTTGCCAAATGACACCCTTTATGTTCCTCCCTCCCTCCCCCAACTTTATGTACTCTGGAGGTAGCATTAGGAAAGCTGTAACTGATAAGAGTCCTTCAGGCAGTGGTTTTGGTTGGAGGCCAGACTGATTATTTCGTGACCAGCTAAGAGAGAAATTCGCGAAGGTTCCCGTGACAAATCGAGAAATTTTTTAAGGAGTAATTGAGAGGGTGGGGGACAGAGAGGAAATGAGCCCAAGTGTTCTAATCACTGGGGAGAGGGGGGGAAACGGGTAGGGAGTGGTAGTGTGTGAAAAGCAGTTAAAAAGTCCTGTCTCCTGCGGCTCCCTCCCTCACCCCCATCCCCCCACCATTTCCCCCTGTTGCAGGGTTTTGTTTATATAACTCAAGTTGTTTGGCTAGATTCTTCAGGTGAATTCCTTCTTTCTTCCTTTTATTTGTTTCTGTTTTGATTGGACGTTTTACCTCTGTGTAGGGATCGATGATTGTTGTTAAATGCTCAGTTATGGAATTTGCTGAAGTTTTAAACAAGTAGTTTTTGCATTTGGTTTGGAAGTGGGGGATGGGAGGGAAGTTGACTGGGCAAGAGATTTTCCTTTTTATAATCTTTTCAGGAATAAGAATGTGTTTTTCTCCTCACTCAGGAAAACTTGGCTGGAAATTAGGAACAGTAGATGAAACTTCTAAGTTTAGGGTTTGAAGTTTAGAATTTTGGGGAGGTAGCAGTGGAGATTAGAGAGAGCAGCAAGTAATAAAGTATATATTATGTACCAAACATGTCCAGGCACAAGTGAAATGGACTCTTTATGAACTATTTGTGGCTCTGATTGAGTTGTGTAAACGTGTGAATGATACCAGTAGTGTTGGCTTTTCATAAGGTTGCAGGAAAACTTGTTAACTATGGCTGTGTGTACATTTTACACAAAGCAGTTTCGGGTTTTATTTTGGTTTAGAAACTAGGAAATGACATGGTGGCAGAATCCGAGTTATTTTTATCTTGAATTGAGAGTTACTGTCACACCTAATGCAGATTTTCTACCTAATGTTTAATTGGGATGGGGGTGGGCGAGAGCATGCCAGCTGTTTTTGATCAATGTCAGATTCTCCAATTATATACATACATATTTTTAGACGATTGAGGATGAAGGGTGAGGCCTAACTTGACCTGATGCCTTTTCCATACAGTGCCTTTTGTTCATTTAGTAGTTGTGGCATCTAGAATGATTACCGCATTTAGGAGTCGGGTGTGGGGGGTGGAGAGAGGGAGAGAAAAACAGACAAAGAACAGCGGGGTGTCTTTTTTTCTTCCCCTAAGTGGCTTATTTCATAGCTTATTTTTAGTAGAAGATGAAGAAAGGCAAAGATGCTTTGGCCTCCTGTTCTTTCCCCCACCTTCCTCCTTTCTGACAAAAGAAAGCAGAGGCGCTTTAAAATCATAGATCTCTGAGATAGGAGGACAGCAGTCTCACGATTTAAAAGGCAGAGGTTATCTTTGCTTCGTGTTTGTTATTTTTCTGGGCTAACGTAATTTGGAAGTTAACATTTTCGTATTTCCTTTTGTGTGTGCCTGTGTGTTGTGGGGGTGAGAGATTTCTGTGGCCTCCTTTCTCTGTTGAATTCACAATTGGTAGGCCCACATGGAGCCAAAAATTTTTAAGCAAGGTATATTTAGCAAAAAGTGTAAGGAAAAATTCCCCAACCCACTACTAAAATGAGTACAATTGTGTGAGAAGGGCTGGGGGTTGAAAATGAAAGATGGTGGAGAGGAAGTAGCAAAGGTCTGAAGGAATGTACTCGCTTTTTGCCCCTCACTGCCCCTTGATGATTTCTTTGGTGTGGAGGCCGATAGCTAGTTTCATTGCAATCTCCTGTTTCAGCCCATTTTTGGATGTCTCCTGAGCGTAATTATGCCACCACAATTTACAGCCTGGCAGGGAACCTATATAGCAGGAAAGTAGCGGTGTGGGGGTAGGGAGAGAAGAGGATGAGTAACCACTGCCTTCCACCACCTCGATAGGTTCTCCGGTTGTTGTTTGGAGTAGGTGATATTTCTTTTGTGGCAGGTTGGTAGGAGGAGAGCTGGCTCCCAAGTTATGCAGGGAGTGAGTGTTTTGCACCAATGCACTTAATCTGCTGGGCGATTATGTTCTGAAACTCTGACTCATTCATTGTTTCTCTTCTGAGCCTTTAGCTGAGGGTTGTGCAAACCTCTCCAGGAGCCCAGAAACTGATGTACATGACTTTTGGGCCCTGTAGGAATGTGTCCCAAACAGGAAACTTGCAGTTAGCCCAAATCCCGTGGAATGGTGGTGAATAGTGTGGCCATTTGTCTGCAGTCAGGTAGATTGGTGATACTGTGCTGTTTCCAGCCTGGCAGCCTTTGAGGTTTCCATCTCAAACTGGGCTTATTATTTAGATTGCCTGAGAACTGGGACTCTGCTGACCTTAAAGCGTGATTTGCCCTAAAGGAATATCGGTTTAAGTTCTCCCTGGTGGAGGAACAAACAGGTCAGATTACACGGGTTTCCTTGTTGGTGGGGGTTACTGGTCTCGCCCTGTTGCACAGCCTGGTGATCCTTTTATCTGTGAACCAGTGGCCCCTGCTGAAGGCTGGAGCTGCTTGTTTTGGAAAAGCGTATGCAGGCAAAAGGCCTCAGGCACAGCTCCTCACAACTCATTGGCTGCTCTGTTACTACCCGGAAAAGGAGGAGGGGTGGAGCTACCGAACAGCTGATGGAGTGTGTGGCCAGAGCGTGTTTATATACAAAAGAAGTCGGGGCTGGGGAGGCTTTGTGAGTGGTGTTATAGGATCAAGTGTGTTTTCAAGGGGTAAAAGGAGGAGAGGAAAACCTGACCAGTTGGAGTGCAGGAAATGTTAAAGGTTAAATCATAAAAGTGGACCTCTAGTAATGGGAACTTCACATAGCCTATATTTGTTACTGGCCTGAGGTTTTGAAACTTATTTTTATCATGCTAAGAGTTTTCAAAGTTTCACTTTTTCAGAGGCAGTGCAATAACTTAAAACAGGATATGTTGCTACTTTAAGTGTACTTAACTGACTCATGCAGGGATTCAAAATTATGGCAGAAATGTAAGCTTCCCCTACAAAAGCTTTAAGAGTGTTAGAAATGGGCAGTGCCTTATACCTTTTCATTAACAGCATTAGTGAATCTTATAGAATCCTGGGTATCTGCCTAAGGGTTTCAGAAGCTTTCAATAACAGTTCATCCCCTCAGATGTTTGATTTTGTGCCAGGCTTGGTGTTAGGTGCTGGGGGTTTTGTAGTGAAAAATTGACTATGGGTAGCCATGATGCTTATATAACTAGTTTTAAAAAAAATCAAACCATGGGCTGTTTATAGCAGGTCAGCAGTGTATCACCTTATTTTTTGAATAACTTTTTAATTATTTTTGGATAATAACTTTATCATTGTATTTTCGGAATTGACTTTTCAAGGAATAGGAAGGTTAAAATGTGAATTTTATGTAATGGGATGTACGGGAATCTGTGTTCCTGTTATTTAAAAGATGTTTAAAAAAATGGAAATAAGAAACATTAAAATGTGTAGCCATTTGTCTTTGACACCAACTTTGGTATTTTGCTGTTAATCAGTAGTCATTCTATCCCTAAGTTATTAATCTTTGTTACTTTTTGATTTGTGCTCAAAGTGTAGACAATTATGTAATGTTTTAACCAGCTCCCATGTCAGTTGGAAACCTTTATTTTGCTTTTTATTTCCTGTGGCCTCTGTTTTAGGGAGCTGATGAGGTGGAAGGTGAAACAGTTTAATGGCCTTCAAGCTAAAAGTTACAGCTTTGGCAACTCCCAGTGTTCTGAATTTATCTTCTCTGCCTGGATTTTGGTGACAAATATAACATACTAGTGCTTATTTTGGTTAAGCAGGAACCTACATGAGTAAGCATTCACAGCTTCAGGACACCTGATTCCTGCAGTGCAGTTCTAGTAAACTACACGCAAGCCTAAAAATTCAGCTTAGCACAATTTCCCTGGCACCTTGACCTGCATTTATATATAGTGTATATAATTTATCATCTTGTTCAGTCTTAACAGATTTAATGGTTCCAAGAATCATTGGATTTTTAGGCATGCAATTCAAACCTGCAAAAGTACTTTATAGTGCAGTAGCTTT